GATAAGCATCACACTCAGTCAGAATTGACTTGATGGCACACATCATTGTCATCATCATCATCAATATTAATATTAATCAGATCAAGCCAATATGTTTGTATATTCTATCTGTGTATTATGCCTGTTCGTAATAATTCTTAAATTATCTTGCCATTATAAACCATGAACTACTTTAAACAATTTTGTATTTTGTCTGTTCATTGTCTAATTAAATTAGACGATGATCCGACCATGAAAAGGGGACTGACACAAGGTCAGTTGCCATCAGAGCACACACTCTCCGCTTGGGGGAAAACACGAGGCCCATGTGGGTGGGGCCATTGACAAGTTGGGACATATCCAAGGAAGCCATGGTTTCCAAGAACTCAAGACCCGGACTGGAAACCTCCGCCTCCGCATAGATGTTGAAATCACCCAAGACCAAAAGCCTCGGGGATTCCAACAGTGCTGTGGAGACAAAGTCCACCAGCTCTGGTAAGGAAATGGCTGGGTTGCGGGGTGCGCGGTAATCCAGCAAGATACCAATACCATCCATGGCCCCAAACAACACGTGAAGACCTGGCAACCTCTAGAGTGTTTTTATATACAGTGGTGCCTCACTTAGCGATGTTAATTGGTGCAGCAAAAATTGCTGCTAAGCAATTTCATCGCTAAGCAATTTTAAAAAGCCCATAGAAACGCATTAAAACGTGTTTAATGCGTTCCTATGGGCTTAAAAACTAACCTTATGCGAAAATCCTCCGTTGCGGCGGCCATTTTCGGTGCGTCAAAAGCAAGGCAAAACAGCGGGCGGCCGTTTTCATCGCTATATGGAGCGATTGCTATGCGAGGCACCACTGTACAATGGTTACACCCCCCGCCCCTCCAGTCTACCCTGGTTCTGGACTGCATAACCTGGAGGGCAGGAGAGGGTCAGGGGAACACCCCCTTCCCCGCCCATCCAAGTCTCAGTTATGCATGCCAGGTCTGAAGACGGGGATAATATTCAAAGGTTTTAAGGGAGTGATGCTCATTCTAAGAAAGACTAAAATGGCCACTACTGGTTTAAAAGTGATTTTCTCTTCCCAGAGAATTCAGGGAATTGTGAACAGTCTAAAGGCAAAGAAGAGGTGTTATCTCTTATTAGACCACTAAAGAAAAATCACAAACAAATGCTAGCTTTTGGCACATGTGAGGCATCACCAAGCTAAGCTAAGTAAAAATGCAAGAGTCCCAAAAATCATGGGTAGATGTTTATGCCAGTTCTGCCTGAGCATTTCTCTGGGGGAGACACTAAAAGCAGCGTATGTCTGTAGCATAGAGGCAGATAGCAGGGAAACATTCCTACGTATGCAGAAAGAGGTGCAGATATGAAGATACTGATTTACTTGTCCAACCTTCAGCTCTGGAGCAAGGAAGTATGTCTTGCCCATCACCCATCAGAAGGGTTCCTACATGCTGGCTGTAGCTTCTCTCTTCCTTTCCCTTCAGCAAGTGTGAGACTGGATGTTCTGCAAAAAGGAAGCACAGATAAGCCCGCCCCCCAGTAGTCTATTTCTAGTAAGAAAGGCAGGTGGGGGGTAGGCTGACTGGTTAGAGGTGGGTAAATGCTGCACTTGCCCTAATGAAAAAGCCACCACTGCTTTTTGTAAATAGAGCATTTGAAAAAAAATATAGCCTAAATCTAAGTGTGTTGGGTTTGCAGCCAAATTTGTGGGTAGAAATATAGCTGTGCCATATGTTAAAGGTATGTTTTGTGCTTGGGTTGGATCCCAAGGTTGCACTTGCTCAAATACCTTCCTCATTTCTTCCTCTGCAGCGAGCAAAATGGGTCTCAATGTGCTCTTGAATAACAGGGACTGTAGGGAGTTGAGGTTGAGGCAGCTTCGACAGGTAGGCAAGTAGCAGTCTAGGAGACATAGCATGCAAGTAGAAGGCTGCTCTTGCAACTTTGGGGCCTAATCGTTCATGTTCTTTGTTTCTGCTGTTGACTATTGGAACTAAAAGCTACTTAGAGGAAATACTGGGCTTTCTCACCCTCTGTTTTTATAATGGCCTTTTACCATTCATACAAATCATAATGGTTGCAATCCTAAATTGAACATACAGTAATTTTTCACAGTTTGCTCTAATGCAAGAGAAAAGTCAAGCTTTTTTGAATGAATAGCTGCTTTTGTGTCTGAAAGACTTTTTAAAAAACTTTCAACCTCGCAGATGTATTTAATGTTAATTGTTAGCAATGCTGAAGAAAAGGTGCAATGTATTTCATGTGTACCAAATCTAGCTTTTATTCATTTCTATATTCTTTCAATCAGTTGCTTCCATGGATGCCTGTCAAATGCTGTCTCTTTTTTGAGCTAAGAAGTCGGCTTTGGTACATCCATTCTTACCCTGCTATTCATCTAAAACAGAATGGTCACCTTTTTTTGTAAAAAAACAAACAAACCTCCCAGTACAGAGTGGGGGGAAGAGATTATAGAATCAAGCATTACAGTCGTGCCCTGCTTGACGATTACCCCATTTAACGATGAATCCACTTCACAATGATGTTTTTTGCGATTGCAAAGTGATCGCGAAATGATGTTTGAATGGGTTTTTTTTCCCTTAGTGATGATCGGTTCCCAATGTTTTTTGCGATTGCAAAGTGATCGCAAAATGATGTTTGAATGTTTTTTTTTCCCTTAGTGATGATCGGTTCCCTGCTTTGGGAACCGATTTTTCGCTAAATGATGTTTTTTCAACAGCTGATCAGCGGTTTTCAATGACCGCCGGCTCTCAAAATGGCCTCCTGCTGTTTTAAGGAGGCATTTTTCGCAAGACAGGCACTGGAAAATGGCCACCCTAAGGAAGATCTTTGCTTTACGATGAGGTATTTCGCCCACTAGAATGCATTAGCCGGTTTCTATTAGCCAGTTTCTAATGCATTCAAATGGGCTTTTTAATTTCGCTTGACGAGGATTTCGCTTAACAGCGATTTCAACAGCATGGATTATCCTCGTCAAGCGAGGCACCACTGTATGTAAGAAATAGCAGTTAATCTAGTCAAACAATCTAAAGTACTATGAGGTAAGTAGGAGGCTATTTTCTTACATGCAGAAGTCACATGTATGAAGTTATGGTGACATACGCAGTGATGCTATCTGTTGCTCTATATTTTTCTGAATCATTCTGATTTTTTGCAGATCAATGATGTCTGTCCATACATGACACTTGTAATGCAGTGATTTGCTGCACAGGCTGCAGAGGAGATAATATGGCCTAGTAGAATTGACCTGTGAAGACTCTATGATGTCCACGGTTAGCAGTTTCAGGAAAAACCATCAGGCTGTGAGCCTGGAAGGCGTTGACCCAGAAACGTGTATGATAGTGTTCAAAACCCATTGGGCACAGGTAAAGAGTTCAGAAAAGTTTATTTATCATGCTGTTTTGTAGTTGTTAGCATTAATAGGTAGCTGTTTAAAAACAAAAAAGGAAATATTTGGATATGGCTTGTATTGTGAAAAAAAATTGCTGTGATGTTGCAATCTGTTGGCTGACACTGAAGTCCTTCTTATATTCTTTTTTGAAATTGCAGAATCTTCCTCCTGCATTATTTAGTTAGCAGCACATCATTTTTCCAACAAAGAGACATAATTCTGTTGGATCATCTAGAGCAGTGGTTCTTAACCTTTGTTACTCAGGTGTTTTTGAACTGCAACTCTCAGAAACCCCAGCCAGCACAGCTGATGGTGAAGGCTTCTGGGAGTTTCAGTCCAAAAACATCTGAGTAACAAAGGTTAAGAACCAGTGATCTAGCAGTGCTTCCCAACCTTGGTTCTCCAGATGTTCCTGGACTACAGCTTCCAGAAATCCTGGCCAGCACAGCTAGTGGTGAAGGCTTTTGGGAGTTTTAGTTCAAGAACATACGGGGACTCAAGATTGGGAACCATTGATCTAGAGGGTAAAGCGAGAGAACATGATTTTATTACAGATGAAATAAAATTTAGAATATAATTACAGTGTTTTGAAATTTTGGGCGATTTAAAACAACTCAGTTATTTTGGCATTGGCTGCTGTCCTGTACACAAGGCTGCTAAAATCATAAGAAGTACATTTTGTGCTTTCATGCGGCCTTAACATAGGGATATCCTTCCCCCTGTTGATAATTTTAAAAAACCCATATTGTTTCCAGTGACCATCAGAAATCTATGAGGAAGTGGATTTTTATTGGCCACCTGTGATCTTTCCAGTGTAGATGCTGTGGATTTGATTGTAAACTACTAGCAATTTATAAAAAGAAGGTATGCAGCCTGCTGCTTAACTCCGTACATCCTGTTCTCCCAGTGATTTAAGGAGATAGTTTTCTTAATTTTGCATATGGGTCTCCATTGGCCAGTGTAAATCATTCTTCTTGTAGCTAACCAAATTTTTAAAAAGATTGTAACGCTTTTTCTCCCCCAAATCCATGGTACAAGCAGTTACAAGAACTCTATGCTGGGTGGAGCCTACCATTAGGCAGAGTAAGGTGGCTGGCCTCAGCCTGCAGGTCACTGGTGTAGTGAAAAGACAGCAAGATGTGCTGATGCAATGACGATGCTACTTTCAAAAATTGGGAGAAGTGCTTGTGAGGTTATTTTTCCAGGTGTAAAAATATATTGCCCTGAGAGAGAGTACCATTAATTGCCCTGCTTCAAGGAACAAAATGCCTGTGACTGATTGTGGTGGGATACAGATACATTAAATGTATACAGTTGCAAGTGCATAATTTAAACTGTGTGGGATTACATGCATTTATTTGGATACAATAGTGTATGATACCAGATATGGCAAGACATCTTTCTAATCTTGTGAATAACTCGGTTCATAATCACATTTCACTCTAATGTCTCTGATATTTGATTGAATTATCAATCTGTGCTGAGATTCATTTGAGAGGTATTTTCCTGTAATTGTTCTATTTGTTCATCAGATATATGTACAGTAGGAGTTAAAACATGGACTTTGGGGTTTCTTTTACTTTTCTGTAGGTTGTGAAAATCTTAGAGAAGCATGACCCTTTGAAAAATAATCAGGCAAAATATGGGGCAATTCCTCCTGATGAGGCCAGCACTGTGCAGAATTATGTAGAACACATGCTCTTTCTTTTAATTGAAGAACAAGCAAAAGATGCTGCAATGGGACCTATTCTGGAGTTTGTTGTCACAGAGAATATAATGGAGAAACTTTTCCTTTGGAGTCTCAGGAGAGAATTCACTGATGAAATGAAAGTTGAACAACTGAAGATGTACGAAATGCTTGTCACTCAGTCCCACCAGCCTCTGCTACATCACAAACCCATCCTGAAGCCTTTGATGATGTTGCTGAGTTCTTGCTCAGGAACTACAACTCCAACAGTGGAAGTAGAGCTGGTAGTTCTTCTTAACCAGTTATGCTCAATCCTAGCCAAAGATCCATCTATTTTGGAACTCTTTTTCCATACCAGGGAGGACCAAGGAGCTGCAAACTTCCTCATTTTTTCTCTCTTGATTCCCTTCATTCACCGAGAAGGGACTGTTGGACAGCAGGCCCGTGATGCACTCCTTTTTATAATGTCACTTTCTGCAGAAAACAATGTGGTTGCAAATTACATAGTAGAAAACACTTATTTTTGTCCGGTAAGTTTCTTTAGCTTTTTATCCTGCTATTTAAATGTCTTTTAAAATTGTATTTGGTTAACCTTTGTTAAACACAGAAAAGCAGAATATATTTATTTATTGTAATATAACCTTACTATGATTTTGTCGAAATTGCTTGTGGTGAATTTGAAGGAATTTGTGAATCTATTTCAGGAAGCTTAAGTTACATTTTAAATATCCAAATAATTTTTTTTGTTTTAAAAATAAATGTGCAATCCCTAAAACCAGTATAAGCTTGTATTGAAATGAGGTCATTATGATACTGTAGTTCTCATTCCGATAGAAGACTGTTTGATGTGTAAAATAAATAAAGTATGTACTAAACACATGCTATTTAGTGGGGATAACATCAAAGTATAATATTAAGGTGGCCATTTGGGTCTAATTTTCTGAACATTACTCTGGATGAAAATGCATCAGCTGATGATCAGACAAATCTTTAAATAATACGTTAGAATTTTTTTGTTATTAAACGTGATAATAGAGGTGATAGTTAATCTCTTACCTTCCTCTTTTTCAATTATGTTTCAGATCCTTTAGCTGAATTTTCTGTTCATGCAAATTCACCTGTATTTCCCCTATTGTCCAATAAAGGTGGATATTTTAATCATTGAATTCACAATAGTCAAGTACTACTTATTCTCCATCTACTTTCCCACCCATAACAATTTTTGCTTATTGATTAAGTTTCCATGAGTTCAGTGATGATAATTCATAGAGGTAAACAACTGCTTCCTTTTCATTTTGTACATCAGAAACTGCTTTTTAAGCGATATTTCTGTCTCGGAGCATCTCAGCTTCACATGCTCTCTTTTCTGCTGCTACAGTACTAGATTCTTCCTGCATTCATTCCTGATATTGCCACTGTACTCCTTTATAGTTTTTATATATATTTATTTTGTTAGATGTTTATTCTGATTTTGGGACAAATACTCTTTCTCTAAGCTGCTCTTATCAGTACAAAATAAATGAGAGAGATAAGCCTGCTCTCAGGCTTACAAATTAATAAGAAGACAGAGAAGGGAAGAGCAATGAAGAGAAGAGTGTGTGAGGGATCAATTTGACAGTGTTGGAACACTGATGAACTGAAAGCATGCATCTGTCAATTCAGTGTGGACCAGGATAATCTTCATTTGCAAGCTTTCCTGGTTTGACAGGATTGTTACAAGGACCTGATGACTCTTCTTCCTCTGGTTAGTGTAGTGGTAAAATCCAGTGCATTGTTTTTCCTGAGCATGCTTCCTGTATTCAGTGCATAGTAATACTAATTATATGTTACATATTGGGGAGAGGGTGCCATCATTTTCTGTCCCTCTGTATGCCATCTCCTATTATAATAGGAATTTAGTACCAGCTAGGCCATTTAGACTGGCTGTTGCCTGCACCCATTTCAATAGCCCATACTGTCAACAATAGCTTTGCTTGCTTTGGGATTCTGGGAGCTGTGGTCCCAAAAAAGAGCATTTTTGTTTTTGCCTTCTCCAGTCTGCACCCGGTGATTATGCATGTGGAACCAGCTGTCTAATAAAGAATTTCCCCCCTTCCATATGATGTTTTTCTCTAGGATGAAAAAATTGAGGTGAAGTCAAAATAGGTTTAAATTTTTATCCTAAAAATGGTTGTAATCCAATGTTCCCTCTAATTTTCAGTCCTGCTCAGTGGGGTCCATCCCTCTCCCATGCAGCTCTGCTCCTGTGCATGACTCTGCCCCCTGTGCAGGGTTCCACTCATCGTGACCGGATGGAACCAACGGAGCTGGAAATGCATGTCGTGGGTGTACAGAGGCGGAAGAGCTCTGTGCAGATGGGGGCGGAGTCACACACTCTTGCATTGCCATGGACCTTAGACCATGTAACCTTTTGATATTATTTTTCAGATCCTCTGCAGGCAGGATGGAGTAGATAGCACACAATGGATTGCAGCATGTAGCTGTTCTATAACCATAGAACAGAAACAACTTGTATTGTGAAACAACCTTTAATCCATTTTCCTAACAGCCTTTTAAAAAAAGAAGTTTTAAAATAGCTGTTTTAGTCTACAAGTACTGAGTAATAAGTCCCTTTCAGGGAGAAATTCATGTTGGTTTAGTTTAAATGGATACATCTAAAGAGGACTTGTGGTTTTTTTTAGTCCCCAAAGTAGATACCCTTATTAAATCTATGCTGTAATGTCCGTAATTACATTTGCCAATTAATTTTTAGAAAGACTTTTTACCCAGAAGATTAAAGCCAACTGTATTAACCTTCAAACAGTAGGGGGCCACAATTGACAAAACACATTCCTAATTAGGATGATTGTCTTAGTGGTATGTTGAAGTCAGGCCAGCTGTGAAAGTAGCTAGTTCCAGTATATAATAAAATATCATAGTCTGTTCCTAAGGGGTTTCACTTTTTAAAAGATCCATAATGTCTGGGTCTTGTGCATTTGATCTTTTCATTTTGGGGAGTGTTCTTTATGAAAATTCAGAATGATGCCTCAGGGATCTGACTAACACCCGACATTCACTCAAGTAAAAGTACAGAAAGATTAAAGGTTTCTTATTGCCATTTCCCTGTAGGGGCAACAAAATCATCGCAATCCTGATTAAATGAATCAGCTCAATTTGGTTTAAATGGAATCAGACAAGATATTATACTGCATGGTAGAATCCCTCCTGTGTAATTAAAAATGCACTATTTAAGCATGTGGAAGCAAACATTTAAGCTTACCACATTTCAGAATGGGTGCCTTTATGCCAGTCTTGGGTAGCTGAAGCAACAATTAATGCCCTTAAAGCTATTTTTTTTAAAAAATCCCTCTTATCACTATTCTCTTGAGATTTTATGATGTATTTCTCAAAAATTATGCAGAGTGTATCAACAGAAAATATTAAATTAAAACCAACTTACCTAACAAAACTGGAAGTGGTTGTTGTGGGTTTTCCAGGTTGTTTGGCCGTGTTCTTAAGGTTTTCTTCCTAATGTTTTGCCAGTGTCTGTGGCCAGCATCTTCAGAGGACAAGAGTCAGAGTTCTGACTCCTGTCCTCTGAAGATGCCGGCCACAGACTGGCAAAACGTTAGGAAGAAAAACCTTAAGAACATGGCCAAACAACCCGAAAAGCCCACAACAATCATCGGATCCCAGCCGCAAAAGTCTTCAAGAAAACTGGAAGTTTTCATGTGATGATGAGCATACTAGTTGAAGTCTGATTTATACATACTGTACTAGTATTTCTGAGAAGATGAAGGGGCTTGTGATTCTGCCTGGGTAGCTGCATGCTGTTGCTAAAGTGCTGCAGTCAAGCCTCTGCTCACGATCTGAGTTCAGTCCAGACAGATTCAGGTAGTTAGCTCAGGGTTGAATCAGCCTTCCATGCTTCTTAGATTGGTAAAATGAATACCCAGCTTACCGAATGGGGTGGGAGCAAAATGTTGCTTGCATAATCATGCTGCAAACTGCCCAGATAGTTCCTTAGCACTATGGGATGGTTATATGTCAAAATAAGAACAACAGTTAGAGATGATACAGGTGAAAGGTATACCGTATTTTTCCATGTATAAAACGACACTGTTTCCTAAAATAATTTAGAGGAAAAATTGAGGGTTGTTTCATACATGGTAGTAAGGAGAGAGGAGGGATCAAAGTGCTTTGATCCCTGCTTTCCCCTTCCACTTTTTGCAAAGAAAGTGGCGGGGGAAAGCATCCCCTTCACTTTCTTTGCAAAAAGCAGAGGGGGAAGCAGCTTTTTGCAAAGAAAATGGAGGGGGAAAGCACTTTCTTCCCAAGAAAGTGGAGGGGGAAAGCAGGAATAAAAGCACTTTGATCCGTGCCTTCCCCCTCCACTTTCTGGCAAAGAAATGTTTTGGGTTAGAAAAGTGGGGGGCATCTTATACATGGGAGCATCTTATTCACGAAAAAATACAGTAACTAACAAATTTGGTGGGAGGAGTTTTTTCCATGTGCTTTTTCTATTCTTCTTTCTTTAACTTGCATGTTGTTTAAAGGTGAATGGAGCAGGACAAAAAGTTAACCAGAACAAATGACAGTTGCTACACTAGCAAACTCTAAGAATCAAGTTGATGGGTTGTCTGTTGGTTTTATTTATCTACATGACCAATATGCACCAACCATGCAGTAATATTATTACAATTAATAAATGTAAAATGTTGCCCTGACAGATTATAGCTTTTTCTCTTCTATAGTTCCGCTACTTGTAGTTTAGATGATGATCCCATACTCAGGCAGATGCAGAAATGTAAATATCTTTCTGTTTTGTCCAAGAGTTAAAAAGGTTTTATTTTGGATCCCAAAAAATAAAATAATGTTATATGCTCCAAATTGTGTACAAGTACGATCATAACTGGATCTTGTATAACCTAAGTGAAGTGGATGATAGCAGTTACAGTGGTGCCTCACTAGACAATGATAATCTGTTCCACTGAAAGCGCTGTTTAGCGAAATCATTGTCTAGCGAAAAGCATTTCCCCATTGGAATGCATTGAAACTTGTTTCATGCGTTCCAATGGGGAAGAATTGTCGTTGTCTAGCAAAGATCGGCCATAGGAAAGCTGCTTTGCGAACTGCCAATCATCTGTTTAAATCGCTGTCTTGCGAAGCTTAGGTCCCGAAAACACCTGTTTTGCAAGCGCGGAGGGAGCTGTCAAAATCGTTGTCTAGCGAAAATCGGTTTGCGAAGCAGGGACCAAACATTGTCCAGCGAAATTCCCCCATAGGAATCACTGTTTTGTGAATCGCTATAGCGATCACAAAAAGTCAATGTCTAGTGAAAAAACTGTCATGCGGGGTAACTGTCTAGCGAGGCACCACTGCATTCTTAACGTGTCTCTGCAATGATAAAAGAAATCTAAAAGAGTATTTCAGCCAGTTAAGATCAATAAGCATAATAGCCAAAATTCTGTTGCAATGAACTGCTTGTGTAGGGGGAATCACAGAAGTGGCTTTTGCCTTTTTTGGCCATCTGCCACATACTTGAATCCCAAGTTCATAACAGAATGCCAGCAAGATTTCACATAGTGCTTCTGCGATTGCTGATACAGGGCATGCTGTTACTACAGGATTCTGGCCAGTTTTTTTTTTTAAAAAAACCATGATTTCTCTTTTTTTGGCTTCTGCCTGGATTATTTCCATTCATGCAGTCAATCTGAATCTTGTAAGACTACACTTATTGCCTTTTAGAAAAAACATGCTTGTGGTGGTCTGGGGTTCACACGGTTTCATCTTAAAGTAGCTTTACTCGTATATACGCATTTATACGCGTATACGTATATATGCGGCTTACAAAATGATAAAATATCAATAAAATAACAATAAAAACCGCACAATCAATCAAATAAACAACATTCATAATAAAAAACATTTGAACATTAATATATCGTGATCAAAATGGGGAATAAAAGAACAGAAAAGATAGAATTCAAGAATTGACATTTATGCTTGATGTAAGAATGTACTACTCAGGTACTACCTGTACTACCCTTTCCTAGCATGTTTTGCTCGTTCAAGACATAACACTGGTTGAAATCTTAATGCTTAGCATAATGAGGTGCAAATAGAGGAGGTTCATTGAATCAGTAGAATTTATTACGAAGCTGATTCATCTAATTACCACTAAATCAGTGAGCCTAGTCTACCATGTTTCCCCCCAAATAAGACAGGGTCTTATATTAATTTTTGCTTTAAAAAACCGCATTAGGGCTTATTTTCAGGGGATGTTTTGTTTTTTCAAGTACCACAATACATTTATTCAAATACAATCCTTTATTTAATTTTATAATAATTTATTTATTCTCATCCCCTTCTTTAAATGTACCTGGTGTCACTTCCTCCAGGGGTGCCTCCTCTGCTGCCAGGAAGCACCGTGGTGGTGGCTCAGGTTCCTCTGACAGCGGTGCCTGGGCTGAGGCTCCCATTGGGGCTAGTGGATACTTGGTTCGTTTTGCGAGAAACAATGGCAGTGGTGGTGGCAGTGGAGGTGGAGGGGTGTTGTGTTAATGTGGAGCGCGGCAGGGGCCCAAAGCCGGTGAGCCCGGTTGAGGAGAGGGTGACAGCAGCGGGTGTTTCAACATGGCGGTGGCCCTGTCGGCGGCACTGAAGAGGGAGCCAAACAAGAGGAGGATTAAAATGTTTATGGTAGGAGAAAGAGGGGAGGGGGAAAATAAAGGCAGGGGGCCCGGAGCTCCAAAATTGCCTCCCCTCTCCAACCTTGTGCTTTGTTAGCCTCACCTGGGTGCCCACTAGAGGGAGGGGAGCGCGCACACTCCAGAGGCGTGAGCCCCAAGAGCCACTGGGAACTTAGGAGCCAAAGAGCAAATTCTTGGTGGTGCGTGTCTCTCTTTCTCTCTGATTATCATGTGAGTGTTAGACATAATTGTCATTGCTGTCTGCATCTTATATTTACCAAGAGAAGAAATTGAAATAGCAGGAGAAAATCCCATCTTTGATTAGTGTGTACTGTATGTAAAGTAAATATAATACAAAGCAACTCCCAAAAAACTAGGCCTTCAAATTCTGTCCTATACACTGATTGTACTTCCTATGGACACACATTTATAAAACTAAGCATTGAAAAGTGTGGGTCAGAGACCCACTCTACCATTCACTGAGGCGTGTTGTAGTTGCATTGCAGGGAACCATGTTTTTCTCACTTACATTACATGTTTTCTCCGGCTTCCCTTGATGGTTTGGAGATGTGTGTCTTTCTTTTGCATTTTAAATTTTATTTCTCCCAACAGTGTTGCTGTACAAAGTGTGAATCTGTCCAACACTGTGATTTTGAAAAACCCAGTCTGTTTTCAGTTTGTTCTAATGTCTTAAAGTGAGATGTAGATTACTGGTTATGAAGAAAGTAGGAAAAACCACTGGGCTAGTCAGGTATAATAAAGCAAAAAATAATCTAAACCAAATCCCTTATGAATATGCAGTGGAAGCTAAGAACAGATGTGAGGCACTACCCTGTTTCCCCGAAAATAAGACATGGTCTTATATTGATTTTTGCTCAAAAAAAAAACCAACCCCGCATTAGGGCTTATTTTCAGGGGATGTTTTAATTTTTTCATGTACACCAATCTACATTTATTCAAATACAGTCATGTCATCTTCTGATTGTTGCACAATACAGCACAATGGTGGTGGAAGACAGTGTTTGACTTAAACGGGGCTTATTTTAGGGGTAGGGCTTATATTACAAGCATCTTGAAAAATCATCCTGAAAAAAAAAATCTAATAAAATAAAATACTAGAGCTTATTTTCAGGTTAGGTCTTATTTTTGGGGAAACAGGGTAGATTTGATGGACAGAGTGCCTGAAGAACTATGAGTGGAGGCTTGTAACATTGTCGAGGAGGTAGCAACAATAACCATCCCAAAGAAAAGGAAATGCAAGAAAGCAAAGTGGCTGTCCAGTGAGGCCTTACAAATAGCAGAGGAGAGAAGGGAAACCAAATGCAAGGAAAGTAGGGAAAGTTAGAGAAAACTGAATGCAGACTTCCAAAAAATAGCAAGGAGAGACAAGCGGGCCTTATTAAATGAACAGTAAAAAAAATTGGGGGAAATAATAGAAAGGGAAAAACCAGAGATCTGTTCAAGAAAATTGGAGATATTAAAGGAACCTTTTGTGCAAAGATGGACATGATAAAGGACAAAAATGGGAGGGACCTTA